TGTTTTGGTAAACGATAAGCTGAATTGATGTCTTAACGATCGTATAAAGCGAAGGAGCTTGGGATTGAACCCACGGTCTTCTGCTCAATAAGCAAAAACGTTTGCTACTAGGCAAACGAGCTCCTTTTTAATCATCGAGTTGCTGTTATTACCATGCAGTCATATTAACAAATAAAACGATTGACGAATCTTGATGTGGATGGGCTTGAGATTAGACTCAGGATGTTCTGCTCAGTAAGCAAAAACGGTTGCTCTAAGGTCACCGAGCCCCTCATATCACATCATACCGTTACTCAAGTTGTTATAACTATTCAAACCCGGCACCGACGACAACGAAAGGTTTAGCAAAATACACGATAAACAAGCGATCCTACCATACATTTTAAATATGAAAGGACCTGGGACCGCGTTTTTCTGCTCAGTAAGCAAGCCACTGCAACCGACGATCTTTCAAATCCGAACACAAAAGGCTACGGAAAAGTATTTAGGCCTTGATTAAATTCCACTATCACGCGACGTTCAATGTTTCGATTTGCTCTTTACGCATTGTTCAGGCAATCATAACAAGCTATGACCGACGTGACGATTGTTTAAAGTAATATGAGTAATATGAGTATTATTGTACAAATTACAGTACATTGTAGAAGTTACCTCATTATTCTGCTGCCCCATAGGTTTTTATTTCTGGATCTTGAGTTGTTTTGGTAATATACTTACTTGCGGCATACTATTTTGGGCGCCCATATAGGCGTGTACTATGTAGGGTAGCTCATCTCTCGTCGTGATGGTGAGATATAGCAGACAAATTAGAGACGAAACATTAGAGAGGAAAAAAAGAGGTATTAGTATTAGTTATATCTAAACAAACAAAACAAAAGAAGAGCAGAACAATAAAAAGAGAATAAAGATAAAATGGAAAACAAAGGAAAAGAAACGTAGGCAGATTATTGAAAAAATATAAAAACAATAGAAAGAAGCATAGATCAATTACTGGGAAAACAGAACTACTTTATAACTAAAAGTGCAATAAATGAGCGTTAGTTTCGGGATCATTTTAGTGTTAGAGTTATGATCGTTTTGATCCGTAGTCAACCCTGCCAGCCTCTCCAACACTAGTTGCAGGCAGTGGTTGTTCAATCATGCGACACGGTAACTACTACTATGTTAGAGGTATGATTCGTCAAGTTTATACAACTCAATGTTTCTATTTATCGTGCAATTACAAAAGCAAACCTAAAATTACAATTATATGGCAATATTATATTTCTTATATAATGTGCTTTTTAAAACAGGCGATAAACAAGAAACTTGAATTTTAATATATTTGTAAAATATGTAACACATACAATATAAAAAACTATATACCATATCAACGGAATTGCCCTAAGCTACAATATGGAACCAATGTTTCCAATTCGGAAAAAGCGCAGAGAGTAAATTAAATCATTGTATTCTACTATCAAAGTTACCCGTACTATTAAAATTACATCCCGGCGGCGCCGACTGGGATTGAACCCAGGCCTGCTGGGGTGAGAGGCAATCACGCTTACCACTACACCACCGGCGCCGCTATGCAAGGTTCTTGTACGACCGTGTTTTGATGAAACAGAAGGGCTGTACTTTGATCGATGACGAAACATACACTACCGGTCATAATTAAGGACTCGCTTGAAAAAGTATTGCAACACTCATATTGAATATTGCATTACCTTGAAAAGTTATGCATCGCCTTGAAAAGTTTACTGTGTTGTAGACTTATAACGAATATACGTTGTATACGAGTACCCCGAATACAACGTATGACTCATCTAATTTTGCATAGCATTTGCAATGTAAGATTAGACGAACTATACGTTGTATTCGGGGTACTCGTATACAACGTATATTCGTTATAAGTCAGGTAACACAGTAGTTGATGGTTATAAATTTATGACAGACGGTTCAAATTTCAGAGATTGAATGAAAAAAAATTCAAAATAGTGAGATACGATCACTATTATGAATGATACACAGTTATCGAGTCAGTACGGCTTTACCGAGTTTTTGAATTGCGGAACTGTTCGGTAAAAGTTTAAACATCTGTGGAAAATTTATTAATGAGAAAATTTGTTCTGAACTTGTACATACTTAGTTCTGTTAACTCCATTTAATGATAAAAAATAAAATTGGTCGATTGCATTGATTCCTTACGGATAACGGGCATTTGAATTTTTACCGACTTTTTCAGCAATTCAAAAACCCAGTAAAAAAAATACTGACTCCTGTAAAAAAATCTTAGTGTGTACATGTAGAAAATTTGTCATTGCACTCTAATGCTCCATAGACGGATCATTATACACGAGACAAATGCATCGTTAGGGATTTTGTCCTACGTTTTGCTTCGTTTTTTTTCCGTTAAGCGCTGTCCAAACTGAGCAGTTATAACATGTTTTTTTTTTTTTTTCCTTTGGTTTGTTTTTTCCGTCGATCTTGTTTTCCGTGCTGAGCACCAATGCTGCCGACGTGCCAGGAAGACAGCTCCCACACCTGGACCCTACCTATCGACCCATCAACTCATGAACCGGGGACCAACGGCTTTACTTCCCATCCGAAGGAAGGCGTGAGCAGAGATGTTATGCCTCAGAACATCCCGGCGGCGCCGACTGGTATTGAACCCAGGCCTGCTGGGATGAGAGGTAATCACGCTTACCACTACACCACCGGCGCTGTTAGTTATAACATGTTATAACGGTTGTCAAATAATAGCAACACAGAAATCACCATCAAGATAGCGCTATAACATGTTATAACTCTGTAGTTTGAACGTACTATTATAGTTCAAAATAGTGAGATACGAGCAGATACGATACATGTAGGAAATTTGTCGAATAATTTAATGTTATATTAATTTTCATTGCAATGTCATTGAAAGATAATGAAAATGCGTTTTTTGATGCACCGATATTATTTAGGTTATGTTTTGTATGATTGAAATCGACGTCCAAGTCAGTCTGCTGGATATACTGGATGATGTTGGGGACTCCGTGCTAGCGGATTTAGATACCTGGGCCTGGGCTACACCAGTAGATCAGCAGCAAAGCAAGAATTGAGGGGAATGGATTTGTTCTGCAAAGTTCCCATCCTGGGGAGCGGCCACATGAAATTAATCCCAAATTACCGGGATGGACAACAAACTTTGGAACTTATATTCTTCTGATCCGTAAACAGTGCCAACCTTTCTCCACTGCACGAATTTGTTGCTCCCTGAATTCGGAACTCGAAAAAGTTGAAATTTGTTCTCGTGGCATCCCGGGATAATGCAACGATCCTACAACAACAATGAGAATGTTAAGCGGTGGAGCTTGTGTTTACAAAGTCTAAAAATTCAACTATTTTCCTGATTGCAAGCAGTGATATCATTGTAGTCATTTGTCACTTTGAAGAAGGACACTCTTTTCCTACAATTCTACAAGCTTTTTGACCACCAAAAACGTACCAAGACAAGACAAATTTTCAATTTAAAAAGTGAACATTCTGATGTGAGTCACGTTTGACAGATGTTTACATTTTCACAAGTCCCCGGCAAGGTGACAGATAACCTTAGTTTCACGTACCCATTTGCAAATAGTAGATGTCACCACACGTCGTAAACAAAGGGATTGTCCTTCATCGCCGCAACGGCATTTCTCTATGGAAAACCAACGTTTTGTTTCACCATGAACACAACAGAAAAGAATGCCATATGAAAAGAGCTAATTTATAATTTTCGTTTGAAATGAAATAAATCCATACAAATTGAACCGAGTTTCATCTTATTATATCATCGAATGGCAATAAAAATACTTTGCTTTCTTCAGTTATTTTTTGCTCTTGAATTTGATTATCCTTCAGATTATTGCTTTGAGCATAGATGTGCAATGAAGGCTTGTCCTGGACCTCTAAAATGAAAAATGTTTACTTTCCCGGGTTTCTCTTATGGGGTAAGTAAAGTAAACTGCTGAAATTGAAAATTAGTCAAATTGCATGATATATTACATATTTAGCTAAATGCATTTAAGGCCTTAGAAAGACGCATAAAGTTCACCACTGTACTTTTTTTAAGTTAGTACCCAATAGCGTCGAAATCACCGACAGGATCCTCGCTCAATTCTTATTTGTTTGATGATAATCACATATTTTCGTTTTACAAATCATATGTTTAAACTTTTGGTTGTTCTACTCAAAGACACACTGTACATACAACTGAAAAACCAAAACAACATTTCTCGCTGGCATCACTGAACTTCCTATGTCACTTATGTTAATTTTGAAGTGCGACGCGCGTTCCGGTTTGGTTGGCGCGCGACAATGAGATGAATTTCAAGCTTAAATTTTATTTATTGTTTATCATTCCCGTATTCGCCCTATTCAGATAACCCTTTTGAAACTTGTGAGTTTGACAGAACCACCAGCACCAAATTGTCGGGGTACATTGGCAATATACTGGAGTTGTCAAATTGCCCCCGGGTTGCATTTTTATCACCGCTACGACAACAGCGCCACGGGTGGCCGGTAATTGGTTGGATTTTACTATAGCAACTGTGCATTTCGACAGTGAGCATTCATAAGGGCGAATACGCGATGATCGATTCTCTTCATCGATTTTCTCTTTGCATTGCTACAGCTAGGCGAAACAATTTTCTAGAATTTGTGCAATGCAGAGTAGTAACAGGTTGTATTGGCTATCAAAAGCAACAGCAAACGCATCGAGAAACGTTAAATCTAGCGAGTTATTAACAAAAGAGAAAATCGACGAAGAGAATCGATCATCGCGTATAGGCCCTTATGCATGCTCACTGTCGATTTTACCGGCCATTTCAAACAAAGTTACAGCTTCCCGCCAGCAATGGCGCATCGCTTCAAACCCCGACGTAAACATCGATTTCACCCCTGCAGTGGGAATATCATCTACATCTGTCAGTTGATGTTGATGTTTTGGAACTGCGAGAGAGAATTTTTTCCCGAAGAGAGTGAAACGATTTGTTGCTGGCTTACTGCTGCGGAAAAGCATTTTTGTGTGTCGCGAAAGAAATTTTTATTTTATACCCTGTTTTATCTCGCATTTAAGCGTAAACTATCAGCGAACATAAGCCGCAACAACGCTGGACATCGTAGAATCTGGAAATCAGTTATCTCCATCCACGGATTGTAAGTATTTTGAACGCAAATTCCTCGGTTTTTTTTGTTGTTTTTGCCTTTGCTTCTTGAATCAAGTCTAATCATTAAACTAGACTAGTAGCAAATAGATTACGTGGATTGTTTTTTTTTTTTACGTTCCATCTGATGAAATCTATTGTAATAAATCAAGTGAAGGCGGCTAATTTTTGGAATTTTCTTCTTTTTCATATACCTAGTCATTAAGTGGATTTTTGGACGAAATTTGGTTTGGGACACAAAGCGCAAGAGGAAAGGTACAATAGAAAGTGCATAAAATGTCCTCCCCGATCAGTTCTGCATCCGAATACAACAGTGCACTGGACGATACCATCAACTCGTCTCTCAGTCCGGAAAAGCTAGATTTCTCTCTGACGGAATCAGGTAAAACAGTATCACGAATGGTGCTCAGAATTGCTTGATTGAAAATTACTTCTTTACAGACATCGAAAACGTGAACATTTCACAGGAGTGGAACGAACTGTTGAAGCCGACCCAGCAGCGAAAGAGTCAGGATCCTCGTGAGTCTTCCCGATTATTGCTGGACAGTTTGAAGAACAACAACCTAAACAACACGAGCAGCACTCCACAACAACACAAGAGTCCTTCCAAATCGCTGAACAATGAAACTCTAGATAGCACTCTCAGCACGATTAGTTTGGATATGAGTATGGTAGGATCCGCGGACGGAAGCTCTACGCTTTCCTTCATGTCCAGTTCTGATGAGGCTTCGGCATTGCTGAGCGATGAGGAGGTGAGTGTTGCTGCTGGAGCGACTTCTTCGAGCGTCACAGCTCCAAAGCCTTCGCTGGCTAGTGGCACCGGGGGTGGCGACGATAGTATTACGACCAAGGATTCCAAGGACACAACGCACAATGTTTCTCTGCTGCCGGTAGATGACGACCAGCAGACGGAACCAGGGCACAGTCAAAGTCAGAAGGTAAGTTTCTTCCATGGTCCCATTTTAGTCAGTTAGTCACTGTTTAACCCTTGTCAACTTTCGCTAGGACACAATCAAAATCTACAGCACCATGAAGGAATTCGATCAAAATCTTCCAGATACGGTCACATTGTTGACCACCCCTGAGGGTAGCAAGGTCTACCTTGTTGGAACGGCTCACTTCAGTGAAAATTCCTGCAACGATGTCTCCCTGGTAATGCGAAACGTCCAGCCAAACGTAGTCATGCTTGAGCTGTGCCCCTCCCGGGTGCACATTCTCAAGTACGACGAAAAAGCACTTCTCGAAGAAGCGAAGGACATCAATCTGGCCAAAATTCAAAGCATCGTCAAGTCGAACGGAACCGTCAATGGACTGTTTTACATTCTTCTGCTCAATATGAGCGCCAAAATCACGAAGAAACTCGGAATGGCTCCGGGAGGCGAATTCCGCCGTGCCGTGAACGAGGCTTCACGCATTCCAAACTGCTTGATCCAACTGGGTGATCGACAGATCAACATTACCCTGCAGCGAGCCCTGCGAGGGCTGTCGCTATGGCAAACGGTGAAGCTGATCCCAAAGCTGCTGATCATGGACGATGACATCAGCGCCGAAGAGGTGGAACAATGCAAACAGAAAGACCTTCTGGAGGAAATCATGCTGGAGATGGCGGGAGAATTTCCCGCCTTCGGCAGGGTGTTCGTCCAGGAACGTGATCTCTACCTTTGTCATTCGCTTCAGGTGGCCGCGTTGCCTCAGCAGCATCCGGATGGAAGCATCCGACCGGTCAACGTGGTTGGAGTCGTAGGAATCGGTCACGCTGCCGGAATTGTAAGACACTGGGGCAAGGTCGAAAGTTCTGCCATTGCTTCCATCGTGACCATTCCGCCGGCCAGTTTCAGCCATAAGGCCGCTAAATTTGTGCTAAAGTACGGTACACTGGGACTGTGCGCTTACGGTGTGTTCCGGTTCGTACGACCAAGGTTGAGCAAGTGGTTATGATCGGTGGTTTACTGCTTGGTGCTCGAGGATTTTTGAGAAGTTTTCAGTTTGTGAGGTTTATTTTTTTTAAGATTTTGACCGAACCACTACACTACATTGATTAAAAATTGAAAGTATTTCCTGATACTGCAGCACGTCTCTTCCGAACTTCGACTGTACACAGTGATAGGTACACAATTACTATAGGATTACATCGTTGGAATTGTTCCGTTCATATAACAAAGAAGAATGCAAATCAAAATCATCATATGTTTTGAAATAACATTATTTATCGGGTAACAAAATATTAAATTGTAGGTGTAATAAAATTATTCAAGTAATCGACCCATGGGTAGTTTTGGATTGTTTAATCCGAAATTTCCGAACCAAACGTCTGGATTTGTGTAGCTTTGTAACTTTCGATCGCGTACGTTCTTCGAATCTGTCCTAAAAGACCCTCTCAAAACATCTTACCCATACCAACAATTTATGACCACCACCATTTCAAAATCTAAGATGGCGACTTTCGGTTAGAGAAAAACTGGGAAATACTGTCAAATTCCCCACAATATGGGTATTTTTATAATCGGGATGACGTGTAGGGACCGGAAATCGATTTCTGACACCATTTTGAAATCCAAGATGGCAACATCCGGGTAGTTAAAAACTGGAAAATACTGTCAATACCCCACAATATGGGTATTTTTGGAATTGTGATGACGTGTAGGGACCAGAAATCAATGAGTGACGTCATTTTGAAATCCAAGATGGCGACTTCCGGTTAGAGAAAAACTGGAAAATACTGTGAAATCCCCACAATATGGGTATTTTTGGAATCGGGATTACGCGTAGGAACCGGAAAACAATGTCTGAATCCATTTTTAAATCCAAGATGGCGACTTCTGGTTAGAAAAAACAGAGAAATACTGTAAATACCCCACAATATGGGTATTTTTAGAAATGGGATGCCGTGTAGGGACCAGAAATCAATGAGTGACGCCATTTTGAAGTCCCAGATGCGACTTCCGATTAGAGAAAAACAGGGAAATACTGTCAATACCCCACAATATGGGTATTTTTGGAATCGGGATGCCGTGTAGGGACCGGAAATCGATGTCTGACGCCATTTTGAAATCCAATATGGTTGCTTCCGGCTAGAGAAAACAGAGAAAAATTATCAAATACCCCTCAATATGGATATTTTTGGAATCGGGATGCCGTGTAGGGACCGGAAATCGATGTCTGACGCCATTTTGAAATCCAATATGGTTGCTTCCGGCTAGAGAAAACAGAGAAAAATTGTCAAATACCCCTCAATATGGATATTTTTAGAATTGGTATGACGAGTAGGGACCGGAAATCAATGTCTGATGCCATTTTGATATCCAAGGTGACTTCCGGTTAGAGAAAACAGGAAAATACTGTCAATACCCCACAATATGGGTATTTTCGGAATCGGGATGACGTGTAGGGACCGGAAATCAATGTCTGATGCCATTTTAAATCCAAGATGGCGACTTTCGGTTAGAGAAAAACAGTGAAATTCTGTCAATACCCCACAATATGGGTATTTTCGGAATCGGGATGACGTGTAGGGACCGGAAATCGATGTCTGGCGCCATTTTGAAATCCAAGGTTGTGACTTCCGGTTAGAGAAAAACAGAGAAATACTGTCAATACCCCACAATATGGGTATTTTTGGAATCGCGATGACGGGTAGGGACTGGAAATCGATGTCTGACGCCATTTTGAAATCCAAGATGGTTGCTTCCGGTTAGAGAAAACTGGGAAAAATTGTCAAATACCCCACAATATGGATATTTCTAGAATTGGTATGACTTGTAGGGACCGGAAATCAATGTTTGATGACGTTTTGAAATCCAAGATGGCGACTTCTGGTTAGAGAAAAAACAGGGGAATACTGTCAATACCCCACAATATGGGTATTTTTAGAATTAGGATGACGGGTAGGGACCAGAAATCAATGTCTGACGCCATTTTGAAATCCAAGATGACGACTTCCGATGAGAGAAAAATACCCATTTACAATACATTTCTTCACAAATCTAGTCTTAATTTCATCAATTCTTGGATCAATTTTGAGAATTTTCGCTTCTAGGTCTGAAATTCTAGTTTCGATTCGACGATCAAGGATCATCCTCAAGGTTCTGTTATGAGCTATTTGGATTTTGTTCCTGTGAGTTTGAGCACATGATTCCCACACCGGAGCTGGGTTGAAGATCGCAGGTGCTATGATTTTTTTGTAGACGGCCAGTTTGTTCACCATTGAGAAGCGATATCTACGGCAAATCAGCGGATACAGACACCTAACCCAGGGAAAACACTTGCCTACGTTTTTATCTACATGGGACCAGAAAAAGAGCTTTTCATCAAACAAAATCCCGATATAGGTTACTTCGGCGGACCACTCAACCCTTGTGCTATCCATGATTACAGTACAAGAAGGAGCCGATTTTAGTTTGGGCGATTGCCGATGGAGGAACATAATTGTTTGAGTTTTAGTGGCATTGATTTTGATTTTCTACCAGGCAGTGTCAAGGCATCGTTGAAGTTTGTTTGCTATTTCGCGAGGCATTCTTCCTTTGACGGTGATTGCGGTATCATCTGCGAACAGGAAAAACACGCAACCGTCTCCGAGGGGAGGAATGTCGGAAGTGTAGATGATGTATAGAAAACGACCCAGCAGACTTCCTTCGATTTACGGTCGCTACACGTCATCCCGATTTCAAAAATACCTATATTGTGGGGTACTTGTCAGTATTTCCCAGTTTTTCTCCAACCGGAAGCCGCCATATTGGATTTCAAAATGGCGTCAGACATCGCTTTCCAAACCCTACCCGTCATACCTATTCCAAAAATACTCATATTGTGGGGGTTTTACCGTATTTCTCAGTTGTTCTCTAACCGAAAGCCGCCATTTTGGATTTAAAAATGGCGTCAGAAATCGATTTCCGATCCCTACGCGTCATCCCGATTCCAAAAATATCCATATTGTGGGGTATTTGACAGTATTTCCCAGTTTTTCTCCAACCGGAAGCCGCCATCTTGGATTTCAAAATGGCGTCAGGCATCAATTTCCGGTTCCTACATGTCACGACGATTCCAAAAATACCCATATTGTGGGGTATTTGACAGTTTGGCACTTTGAATTTTGATCATCTAAGTTTTCATTCACTTGCACATTCGGCAGCACTGCACCTCCATTTACAGCTTCTTCGCCCAACCGTTTAACCATGTTCAGCAAAAACCAGGTTCGGTTTGCAAAAAACTGAACCGAATTCGTGGTTGATATTCCATACACCCGACCCCAAACTCGTTTACACGTGTGAACGGTGCTGATGGATTCGGTTGTGTTTTCGAAACCGAGGCCCAGTTTTGGTTTCAGTTTCGTTTACCGTGTAAACGAAATGAAAACTTTACACGGTGTGCACCATTCGTTCACACGTGTTGCGATTTTGAGGACCGTACCAGTTCATGTGTGTACAGGTTGGTTTTCTTGTCCACCTTAGTCTTGATCCAATGACCAACTTCACCAAAGGCAGCAACTTCCTATATCGGAAAAATATCAAGATATGATATAAACAAGGGAATCAAAATTCAAGCATACTAGCTCTACGTAGTGGGAAACATCCGAACTTCTGTCCATCAACTATTAGGTCTTGCTCCTATGAACAACTTTGCCGAAAACAGCAACTTTCTAGATGGCAAGGATTTCAAGATATCACAAAAAACAACCTTAACTTTCCAATCAGGCTAAGGCCTTGTTGTCCTCTGCTGTCTCCACTCTACTCGATCCATGGCCACACTTAGCCAGCCTCGTAGTCTGCTTGCCCGCTGTGCGCCTCTTCTTCTTGTTCCTGTTGGGTCGCTTTCGAGAACCATTTTCACTGGGTCGTCGTGCGGCATTCTTACGACGTGCCCAGCCCACCGTAGTCGCCCAATTTTTGCAATGTGGACGATGGATGGTTCTCCCAGCAGCTGGTGCAATTCGTGGTTCATTCGCCTCCTCCACGTTCCGTCATCCATCTGCACTCCACCATATATGGTACGCAACACCTTCCGTTCGAAAACACCAAAGGCGCGTTGGTCCTCCACGAGCATAGTTCAGGTCTCGTGGCCGAAGAGGACCACCGGTCTAATCAGCGTCTTGTAGACAGTCAACTTCGTGCGGCGGCGAATTTTATTCGGCCGGAGTGTCCTCCGGAGTCCAAAGTAGGCACAATTCCCTGCCATAATGCGTCTTAGAATTCCTCTGCTGGTATCATTTTCGGTGGTCACCAGTGAGCCCAAATACACGAACTTATCGACCACTTCGATTTCGCCACCGTCAATCTGAACTCGGGGTGAGAGGTTAAAATTATCTTTCCTAGAACCTCTTCGTCTCATGTATTACGTCTCCGATGCGTGACGGCAAGCCCATTCCGCCTAGCTTCAGCCTTCAGTGTGATGTAGGTTTCCGCCATCGTCTCAAAGTTCCGTGCCATGACGTCGATGTCATCGGCGAAGCCAAGAAGCTGGATGGTCTTCCTTAAGATCGTGCCACTCGTGTCTATCCCAGCTCTTCTGATCACACCTTCTAACGCGATGTTGAATAGCTGACACGAAAGTCCATCACCTTGCCGTAACCCCCTTCGAGATTCAAAGGGACTCGAGAGTGTCCCCGATACAACGCACATCACTCGATCTATCGTTGCCTTGACCAATCGCGTCAGTTTATCCGGATATCCGTACTCGTGCATAATCTGTCATAGCTGATCTCGATCGATTGTATCGTATGCGGATTTTATATCGATGAACAAATGATGTGTGGGCACGTTGTCAAATGCCAATGGTTTGAATGTATAAATATATAAAATGGAAATGACGTTCAATCAAATAAACCTATACCCCACTCACTTGGCCAGGCTTCGGAATCGTCCAGTGGGCAGTGCGCTCTACACTCCAAGTTCCCTTTCTTTCAAATTCACCCCAAATTTGATATTTTACCCCTTTGAGTGTTGATTAATCACAATGAAACATTGTGACAGAGCACGGACTTGAGGTTACTAGAATATTAAATAATCTAGGTCCTATTTAGGATTATATCTGAAAAATCCAAATCAGGCCAACGCCCACCACTATTCTATTGTTTCAAATGATGTAAACAAAATAAGAGTACCTGCCCCACCTAAGCTCGCGAGAAATTTCAACGCTTTTCCTGGATTTCCACCCGCAGCCGCTGAAATTCAGTGATATTTAACACACGAAAAACAAAAGGCACATCCGAAACCGGTGGATTGTTTT